TAATATAAATACTTTAGAACATAAGGGAAAACTTTCGAACATAATAGAAATACTTTATGACATAATGGAAAACTTTAGAACATATGAGAAAACTTTAGAACATAATAGAAATACTTTAGAACATAAGGGAAAACTTTAGAACATAAGGAAAAAATATAATAGAACATAATAGAAAACTTTAAAACATAAGAGAAAACTTTAGAATATAATAGAAATACTTTAGAACATATGGGAAAACTTTTGAACATAAAGGAAAAAAATAATAGAACATAAAGGAAAAAAATAATGGAACATAATAGAAATACTTTAGAACATAATAAAAATACTTTAGAACATAAGGGAAAACTTTAGATCATAAGGGAAAAATATAATAGAACATAATAGAAAACTTTAGAACATAAGGGAAAACTTTAGAACATAATAAAAATAACTTAAAATTATGTTAATGTTCCAAATAAGGTTAATGTTCCATATGATATCAATGTTCCTAAATTTCTTTATTGCATAATAAAAAAATTATAATTAACTAAGTTAAAACTTTACGCCTTACCATTTTTGTAAAATCATACCCATATTTGTCTTTAACTGAAACATTTGGTGAAAGAATCATGTTATCAATGACATCGAGAGTACCTTCCATAAAGTTAAAGTACAACAAATAATAGTGATCCGGTAAAACAGCCAGAAAGAAAACCTACGTTTAGAACATAATCAGAGACTTTAGAACATAAACAAACATGTGTTTAGAACATAATCATATACTTTAAAACATTATAATAATAAATTAGAACATAATTAGAAATACTTTAGAACATTGACATGTAATTTAGAACTCAATCAAAATAAATAGAACACTATATAAAGAAAAAAAAAACTTACCAATTGAAAGTTGTTAAATGTTGTTACTTCGGCATTTGTCATTTCATTTCTCATTTGTTGAAACAAAGCTTTTTTTCTATCTTCCCAACTTTCAGTATTTTTGATGTATTTTTCAGTGCAAAGAATGAGCTGGAAAAAATAAAATAAAACTCAAGTAATTAGAACATTGACATATAATTAAAACAAAGACATGTAATTTAGAACATAATTAGAAATACTTTATAATATTGACATGTGATTTAGAACTAAATCAGAACTACTTTAGAATATCTTTTGGAATACTTTACCAAATTAAAAAAAAAAAAAAAAAAAAAAAACCTTTTTTACCAAATTGTTAACACCAAAACCTTCTTTACCAAATTAAACAAAAAAAACTAATCATATATGTCTTTTATATTATATATGGTAAGATAATTAGAACATACATAGCATTCAGTAGAGAAAAAAAAATCTACTCTTCTTGTCTACATCACGCCTTTTGTTTTCACAATTTAATATGAAAGCATAAGCATCTCCAATGTTGTTGAACATGTGACTACATCCTGAAAGACTATCCATCTCATCTCTCCTAATCACCATTGCCGCTTTGTCAGCATACAAAAGTTCCCTAAAATGAGAACCCAAAACTACATCAAATCAAAACAGCATTTTGAACATAAGCAAAATACTAAAACATAAGCACATAATTTTAAACATAAGCATAGTGCTTTAGAACTAAATTTTAGAACATGACCAGAAATATTTTAGAACATCAACTATATTAATCAAAACATAATTTTGAACATTAGCATAATAGTTTAGAACATAAGCACGTAATTTTGAACATAAACATACAACTTTAGAACATAAGCATAGTACTTTAGAACATAAACTTGTAACATTTAGAACATTTACTTAGGAAAAATATAACCATCAAAATTGAATTTGATTACAAAACGAAGATGGGAATTTCAAACATGTATTTTATAACATAAGTTTCTACCTTAGAAGATAAATACAATGTTTAGAACATAAGTATATATATTTTATGACATAATCACATACTTTTATTATAAGCATATAAATATAGATGGATGAAATCTTACACGTTATCTCCTTGAGCAAAAGCATACTCAGCTATCATTTTATGATCTACATTGTTGAAGAGTTTTTCATGATTAACCATAAAAGGCGAACACAAGTACATTGGAAGCTTATCCTTTCCTCTTTTTTTCCTTGTTTCTTCTTCTTCTTCTTCTTGCTTCCTATTCAATTGAATTAAAAAAAAATAAACAATCAACCACTAAAATCAAATAACAATCAAACAACCGCCATAGCCTAAATCTAATTATCGTTGCTTATTTTCTTTGTTGTTCTTTTCTTCAACATGCTTCTTCTTTTCTTTTTTGGTTTTGTTGTCCTCTTCTTCTTCATTCAATGTAGGTGGATGATCTAGATTCAAAAAATTTAGAACATTAAAAGAACTTTTGACATAATAAATATTATAAATTTCCAATATACATATAAGAAAAATAAAGTTAAAATACGTCAAACTTACCAACTATTGGTGAGGGCATCAACAAATTGAAGCTTGGAGGTGAAATATCTTTATGCATATTTTTTGGAGGAATTGGTGTCTTTGGTGTGTCGTCATTCCTTTTCGTTTTCTTTTTTGTTGTACGCAAGAAAATTTTAAGCTTATTCTTTTGTCTAAACAAAATCAAAATTACTTTTAGAACATGGGCAAGTAATTTAGAACATAATTAGAAATACTTTAGAACATATTTGAAATACTAATAACAAACCCAAATCAAAACCAATATATATAACTAGAAAACACAAACCATTAATCCTATATTAAAGTTTTACCAAATCGTCCAACATATGTTCTAAACCAAAACCAATGTCTTAAATATTCCTATTATTAAGTTACATTGATTACCCTTTCTTTGCTTCAACTTTCTTTTTTTCCTCTTTTTCTCCTTCCTTCTCCTCTTGTCTTTCTCATTCTTGCTCCTCTTGTCTTTCTCCTTCCTTCGCCTCTTGCCTTTTTTCTTGATTATCCTTTTGTCTTTGTTCTTGCTTTGTTCTTGAAAATATAAAGGAAAACTTTAGAACATAAGGGAAAAATATAATTGAACATAATAGAAAACTTTAGAACATAATAGAAATAATTTAGAACATAATAAAAAATACTTTATAATCAAAAGTACTTTAAAAGATTGACATGTTCTATAAATAATTTCAAACATATATTATAATCTTTAGAACATAATAGAGAACTTTATGTCATAATTGGAATACTTTAGAACATAAGGGAAAAATTTAGAACATAAAGAAAAAATATAATAAATCATAATAGAAAACTTTTGAAAATAATAGGAATACTTTAGAACATGAGGAAAAACTTAAGAACATAAGGGAAAAATATAATAGAGCATAATAGAAAACTTTAGTTTAGAACATAATAGAAATACTTTAGATCATAACCTTTTGCCAAATCTCCTTCTTGCTCCTCTTGTCTTTCTCCTTCTTTCTCCTCTTGTCTTTCTCCTTCCTTCGACTCTTGTCTTTCTTCTTTATTATCCTCTCGTTCTTGGTCTTTCTTCTCTTCTTGTTCTAGAAAACATAATTATAAAGCATAATATTAGATTATAATTGTATCATAAGAATTTGAGTTGGAACATTAACATAAACTTTAGAACATATAGCTTAAACTTTAGAACATATAGCGTAAACTTTAGAACATAAGCATATACAAATATTCTATTTCATTTTTTTTTACTACTTTTCCTTTTTAAAATACTTTAGAACATAAGGGAAAACTTTAGAACATAAGGGGAAAATATAATAGAGTATAATAGAAAACTTTAGTTTAGAATATAATAGAAATACTTTAGATCATAACCTTTTGCCAAATCTCCTTCTTGCTCCTCTTCTCTTTCTCCTTCCTTCTCCTTTTGGCTTTCTCCTTCCTTCGACTCTTGTCTTTCTTCTTTATTATCCTCTCGTTCTTGGTCTTGTGTTTCCCTTCTTGTTCTAGAAAACATAATTATAAAACACAATATTAGATTATAATTGTATCATAAGAATTTGAGTTGGAACATTAACATAAACTTTAGAACATAAAGTGCAAACTTTAGAACATATAGCTTAAACTTTAGAACATATAGCGTAAACTTTAGAAAATAAGCATATACAAATATTCTATTTCATTTTTTTTACTACTTTTCCTTTTTAAAATACTTTAGAACATAAGGGAAAACTTTAGAACATAAGGGAAAACTTTAGAACATAAGGGAAAAATATAATAGAGCATAATAGAAAACTTTAGTTTAGAATATAATAGAAATACTTTAGATCATAACCTTTTGCCAAATCTCCTTCTTGCTCCTCTTCTCTTTCTCCTTCCTTCTCCTTTTGGCTTTCTCCTTCCTTTGCCTCTTGTCTTTCTTTTTTATTATCCTCTTGTCCTTTGTCTTGCTTCTCTTCTTTATCTTGAAAACATAATTATAAAACACAACATAGAATATAATTGTATCAATATTCTATTTCATTTTTTTTAGTACTTGTCCTTTTTAAAATCAATTAATTAAAAGAATTGAAAATAATTGGAAATTATCAAGTATAGGTGAAGAGATACTATCATCTATCTTTTCATTGATATTTCTCTCATCGTTGTTCTTTTCTCTTTCTCCTTCATTTGATGGCAAATCTTCATAATAATTACAAAACACAATTTTAGAACTTAACTATATCATAAAGATTTGAGTTGGAACATAAACACTTGATTTAAGAGCATAATTTAGAACATAGGTATAATTTAGAAATTAAACATGTAATTACCATGTCCCAATGACTTTGGTGACTTTTCAACATTAAATTTCTTCCATGCTATGTTCATCAACATATCCAATTCTTCTATGAATGCCGGTTCATCGAAGAAATGTTGATCTTGACTAAGTATGGAAGGACTTTTTGTCTGTTGCTTTTCTTCTTCTTGATTACCAATGGCTATATATAAGAATACATAAGTTAGAATCCAATAAGCCATTTATATATGTTCAACTATTATAAATATAAAAATTACACTTTAGAACATAGGCTGAAAATAGTTTAGAACATGATTATTATACCTTTGTGGTATACTTGCACCAAATGTTGTCTATAAGATGATGCATTTTCCCCGTTGTTTCTTCCTCAACGAAGATATCCTTTGTTTGTTCCAACATGCTATACATCTCTTTTACATTCGATGCAAGACTTTTTGCCAAATCTCCAAATTTGCTTAAAAAACCCTAATAATTTAGAACATAAAATAATGAATATTTAAAATATTATAGAAATAAGTAAATAAATTAATAAAAAAAATATTAAAACATTATACCATCATATCATTTAGAGACGTGATAGAATCACATGTCATTGGTTGGTTTTCCACAACTTTCTCTTTTCCTTTGTCTTTCCCTTGCTTTTTTATTACTTTCTTCTTGCCTTTGTCATTCTCTTGCCTTTTTTCCAATCCCTTTTTAAATATACATTATAAATTTTAGAATACATGCATAAATATATTATATAGATAAATATAAAACGATAATAAACTTTAGAACATATATTACAAAGTTTAGAACATATAGTATAAACTTTAGAAAATAAGCATATACAAAAATCATACCACATTCAATTTCATTCTTTCTAGTACTTTTCCTTTTCCAAATCCAAGGTCTTTCTCAAACTTCAATCTTATATGGAACCTTTCTTGGTTCCACAATGATATTAATGGAACTTGACGTGGTATCTCTAACCCCTTCCTTGGTACCCGATCAAAATAGGATACCTAAAAGAACATCATTAGAAATACTTTAGAACATTGATATGTAAAGTAGAACATAGATATATAATTTAGAACATCATTAGAACTTGACATAAGAAAGATTAAAGGACCCGTAAAGAAAGATTCTCCATCTAGCCAATTCTTAGTAGTTTCCATCAAGTGCTCCTTAACAAATTTGCACCAATTCTACTTAACTATATTCTTTGTATCCTTGCAACTATACAAAAACTTAATGTATAGTTGCTTGTTATTAGTTGAACGGATGCAACTATTAACCACACAAACCAAAAAATTCCAAATGAATTCATCCGAAACTTGTTTTTGTTCTTTATCTACCTCCTTCACCTTTTGGATCCTACTAATCAATTGTGCATTTGTTGGAGCACCCTGTAAGTAATTTAGAACATGGATAGGTAATTTAGAAGATAATAAAAATATTTTAGAACATAATTAAAAATACTTTAGAACATAATCAGAATAACTTTAGAACATAAGCAAAAATACTATAGAACATAAGCAGAAATACTTTGGAACATAATCAAAAATACTTTAGAACATAAAGAAAAAATATGATTGAACATAATAGAAAACTTTAGAACATAATAGAAATACTTTAGAACATAATAGAAAATACTTAATAATCAAAAGTACTTTAAATGATTGACATGTAATATAAATAATTTCAAACATAATAGAAAATCATAGAACATAATAGAAATACTTTAGAACATAAGGGAAAACTTTAGAACATAAGGAAAAAATATAATAGAACATAATAGAAAACTTTAGAACAAAATATAAAACTTTAGAACATAATAGAAATAGTTTAGAACATAAGGCAAAATTTTAGAACATAAGGGAAAAATATAATAGAACATAATAGAAAATCTTAAAACATAATCAAAAATACTTTAGAACATTATTAAAATAAATTAGAACATAAGCCAAATAACAAGTTTAGAATACAAGTACACATAAAAATATTCATACCACTTTAAGGTTAAAGTTTTTTCTTCATTTTTGCATAAAATTTGCACATTCATTCTTGTTTTCTATTGTATCAAGAATTGCTATATCTCCCATTGGCAATCCATATGTATGTGAACATCAAATTCATCAAAGAGTATTTCTTTTTCTCTCCCCGGTAGCATCAAGCAACATCTCTTGCGATCAAAATTCGAAAGAAGTTGTTGTGTCAACCTAGATTTAAATTAAAGGTTTAGAATACAAAATACATATAGATTAGAATTTAAATAAAAATAAAAATTAACATGATAATTAAACTTTAGAACAGTAATTAGAATTTTATAAGAATTAGAACATAATAGATGATATTTAAATAATAAAAACAAAAAATAAAAGTTAACGCTAGTGCTTACCAAGAATCCACATAATGCGGTGCATCCAAGTTCAAAAAAGCTCCAAATCCAATTTTTTTAATTGCTTCTTTATGCTTATCAGAAAGATCTACCAACACTTGTTTCATCAATTCCTTATCGGTAACTCTTTGATAAGTCGATCTCTTATTTTTTTTCCACTTTGATTATTTTGACATCCTCATCATCCTTTTCTTTTTCAATCTTTCTTTTCTTATTTTTCTGATTTTTTTTTCAAAACACCTGAAAAAATTAAAACATTGAAAAGAATTTGAATTAGTATATAAATTATTGTTATAAAAAATAAAGTTTAGAACATAAGTATATAATTAAAACATCAACTTAGAAATGTAAGAATTAACTTACAAAAATCATTTACTTATTAATTAAATCATTTACTTTAGAACATAAGCATGAATGTATTAGAACATATGTTTATAATTAATAAAGTTACATATTAATTATAAATGTAGAATATAAACATGCAATTTATGACATGAGCATATAATTTAGAACCTTTTTACTATCATCATTCACGTAATCTCTTTTATCATCTTTCTCCTCCAACTTTGGTTCATCCATCTCATCATTAATATCATGTTCATCATCATTTTCATCATCATCATCATCATCTTCTTCTTCTTCCTTCTTTTTCATTTTTCTAGTTGGTTGAATCCTTGATGAAAGCTTGGCACTTTTTTTTCATTTTTGACTTTGCACATGTTTCTCAAATTCAGCTTTGTCAATTACTTCCGCATCATTTTCAACAACTTCCCTTTAAAATCAAATATAAATGATTTAGAACATATATGATAATCTTTAGAACATAATAGAAAACTTTATATAATAATATAAATACTTTAGAACATAATAGTTACTCTTAGAACATAATAGAAATACTTTAGAACATAAGGGAAAACTTTAGAACATAAGGGAAAAATATAATCTAAAATAATAGAAAAATATAACAGAACATAATTGAAAACTTTAAAACATAATAGAAAACTTTAGATAATAATAGAAATACTTTAGAACATAATAGAAAATCTTTAAAACATAAGGGAAAAATTTAGAAAATAAGGGAAAAATATAATAGAACATAAGGGAAAACTTTAGAACATAATAGAAAACTTTAGAAAATAAGGGGAAATATAATAGAACATAATAGAAAACTTTAGAACATAAGGATAACTTTAGAACATAAGGGAAAACTTTAGAACATATGGATAGAAAATGTTAGAACATAATAGAAATACTTTAGAACATAAGGGAAAACTTTAGAAAATAAGGGAAAAATATAATAAAACATAATAGAAAAATTTAGAACATAAAGAAAACTTTAGAACATAATAGAAAACTTTATAACATAAGGGAAAACTTTAGAACATAATAGAAATACTTTAGAACATATGGATAGAAAATGTTAGAACATAATAGAAATACTTTAAAACATAATGGAAAACTTTAGAACATAAGTAGAACATAAGGGAAAACTTAGAACATAATAGAAATACTTTAAAACATAATGGAAAACTTTAGAACATAAGTAGAACATAAGGGAAAACTTAGAACATAATAAAAACACTTTAGAACATAAGGGAAAACTTTAGAATATAAGGGAAAAATACTTTAGAACATAAGGGAAAACTTTAATTACCTTTTTCTTCCATAAGTAATTTCTTTATCCGGTATAATAGTAATTTCTTCTTCTGATTTTTCTTCATTTTGGCCTTGCATTTTGCTGAAATTTTATAAAATAAAAAACATTAGTAACATTCCTACATTAGTAATATATTTTAAACATAAGAATAGTTTAGAACATGCTGAAAATAGTTTAGAACATACTGAAAATAGCAAATTAGCTACAGAGGAAGAACTAGAAAATTTTACATGACAAGCCCAAGATCATTCAAAAAATAATGGAGATTATCATCAAGTCCCTAATTCTATATCCATTCTTCGCAATGATTTGTACGTCAATTAAACCCAAAATCTATCATATAACAAATATCAAACCAAAATCAGAAAAATGGAATAGCTATAAGTAATATATTACAAGGTCTGCTAAACTACGAATATACACAATTACTCTCACAAACCAAAGAAGATTCACTTAAAGAACAAAATCCTTAATCATCACAATATGTAATTTACCACACCAAGTATCTTTAGTCCAAACATCTTCAATTTTCAGAAATGTCTATAATCAACCTGATTACAATCATCAGCAACAATTACCACCGCGCAAAACAAAGCACAATATCTAACACACCAAACCTAATGCTGTCAACCCAGCAAATCTCACTTCGAAGATTTTACCGACATACTGACATCAAACACACAACCAACTACAAAAATCAAATCGGATATCGAGCAACCGCCCCCACGCCGAATCCTAAAAAATATACAGTAATACTTAAAAATCAATTAAATAAAATAATATCTAGCTCCCAATTTCCCATAATAATTTTTTGAGTTTATGGTTGAACAGTATAATTATGTGATTTGATTGAAACCCTATTTTGAAGACCAACAATTGCAAGACGATCGAAATAAGGATGAAAACGCAAGTAAACCCTTGATGACATTGTTTATTTCTAAAAAATAAATAACTCAAACAAAATCAAATAGATAGATAAAATCGAACAAAATTGAACTAAAATTGAACAAAAATCAAAATATTAGCAAAAATCGAACTAAAATTAAACAAAAATCAAAATATTAGCAAAAATTGAACTAAAATCGAAAAAAAAAATCGAACTATATATTTCAAAAATCAAAAATAGAAAAGAAAAATAGAACAAAAAAAAAGTCGAACCTAAAAAAATATAAAATCGAACAAATAAAAAAAAGAAAATCGAACAAAAAACAAAGAAAATCGAACAAAAAAACAAAGAAAATCGAACAAAAAAAATAAACAAAATCGAACTAAAAAAAAAGAAAATCAGACCAAAAAAAAATCGTACCAAAAAAAAATATAAAATCGAACAAAAAAAAAAGAAAAACAGTTCGAAATTTCGAAAAGAAAAACAAAAATCGAACTATATAAAATTTTTCAACAAAAATCGAAAAGAAAAAAAGAAATAACAGTTCGAAAATTCGAGCCCAAAATTTTCGAAAATCAAACTCAAAAAAATCAAAAAGATAAACAAAACCATTCAACATCATGCTAATTTCATATAAATTTAAACAAAATCGAAAAGAAAAACATACCTTAAATTAAAATCCTTCAAATTGCAATATTAGGGAGATTTTTGGGGTTTTAAGAGAGAGAGGAGGAAAGAAACGTGAGGAAGAGAGAGAAAGTTAGAGGAGAGAGAAAATTTTGGGTGGTGGGTAAGGGTTTAGAGGGAAGATACGTGTTTTAATCTGAACCGTCCGAATTAATCTAATCCTACGGATGAGATTGATTCTTATATAACTAAGGTTCTTATATAAGGATGGGTTCTTACCGGATCCCTCCTCTATATATATATATACCACAAAATCAACAACAAGAACACTAATACATTCAAATATTAATACACTAGCATAGTGCCCGTGCGATGCACGGTTTATAAATCAAACTATTAAACCCGTAGGAAAAAATAAAAATAAAAACAAAGGTAATTCATTTACTATTAAAGGACTTGGTTACTAATGGTCAAAAAAAAAAATTAAAGGAACGTTATTTGAATAGAATTTATGTTATTTGAATTTCTTTTAATTTTTTATAATGTTATTTTATTAATTGAAAAATAAAAGAATAATACTCCACATAGCTATATAAGAAGTGGACTAATTTATTTATATCTCTTGTTGAGAAAAAACTAAAATTTTCTTATCATACCATCCGCATCAGTAGCTACAATCAATCTAATATATACATGTTTTATTTACCCGTCGCACTCGTTAAATCTATAGACACAATAATAACCTTATATTTGACCTACCAGAACATATATTTTCCTAAGTTAAGCATTGTGCCAAAAACTATATATTATATAACAGTCATATATATAACCAACAACTGATTAAATATAGTATACAACACAAATACTTCGTATATAGGTATGGATACTGATAATTTTATATAAATAAAATATACGGAGTATATATTACTAAGATTTATCCCTACCTTAATTATAAAATGGTTAACAAAACTCTTATAATAGTGCATGGACATTTATATATCTAAAAATGTTCTTTTTACATATATTTTCCCCCATTTAATTTTAAAAGCCTTAAAATTGTCTCTTGAATTCGCTAAATTGATTTAAAAGGTTATGTTTATTTCAATATTTAAAGCCATTTACTATTTTCATTTCCTTTTGTTTTAATTTTTCTATTTAGAATTTATTAGACTATTAGGTTTCAAGATCGAAGTCAATATCTTTTTACCGTACAATCACTAAATTAAAGTCGCTCAACTAAAGTTTTGGACATTGCATAGCTACACATGCAACATTCAACACATTTAATGATTACATGCAAATAATTTTAATAAAACTACGCATTCGATATAAGTTATTAAACAATTTAACTATATATACATTTTGATAGGTTTATATTTTTCATATTAACAAAAATTTATAAATGTTATTATTATATTTTAAAAAAAATATTAGACTTTGGAGTTTTGTATAAGATAGATAAAGGATAAGTTAATTCCCGTCATATATGTATTGAGTTTTGGGTGTTCTATCCGGTTCACCCTTTGGGCTAATCCAGATTTGAGGATCTGTTCTAGGCTATTAGGTTCCACTCCCCTTCCGATTGTTGTTGCAGGGGAGCGAACACAAGTCCTCCCTACCAAGTGTAGTCTCAATCACCACTACACCAACAACCAAACACTTTATATGGAGGACACGTGTTATAAAATATTATATTATATATACATATACTTTTTTATATTATAAAAAATATTATATTATATACACATACTATTATAGTTAAAAATATTATTATGTATAAAACAATATAAATTATTGCACATGATTGTTGTATATCTAGTATAGTACATGAGCAGTGCACGATTTTTAAATCAAAATGTTAGTTTTTCTAAAAAAAATTCATAAGTAATAGCATTGTTAATACGAATATTACAATTTAAAACGCGAGTAATGGTTATAATACATTTTATATCTATCCCTTTTCCGTGAAATGTCTAATTCAATTTAACTTTTATTCTTCTTGTTTTGATTGGTTATTGGTCCAGTTTATTTTTATTTTTATTTTTAATGCAAGAAAAACAAAAGGTCATTGTAAAAGACATTGTATAGAAAATGAAAGGCCGATTAAAATTAAATTTATGTTCAAGATTATGTATTTTTTTCCAAGACAACCTCTCGGCTCAGCATTCAGTATTTGTCAAGGAGCAAAACAAACGATAAAAGTAATTTTTACACTATTTTGTATCTTTATCAAAAAATTTTGTATTCATGCGATTACTTGAATTGAATTTAGGATAATTTGTAGACTATTTTGGGTAACTTTTATCATTAAAGCATAAATAACTTTCATTCATTACAGGGTAGCTTTTATAATAGGTGCACAATATTTTATTGTACATCTGATTTTTTTTTAAATGTTTGTATTGATTTCATAATTGACGTCAAACTAAATTCTTATCGATTTATTTAATTTTCATAAAAAAAATATTAGCCTTTCAAAATACGAAATATTTGTTTCCTTTATTATGCCACTTTAATCATATTGCTTCAAATTAGTTATTATTCTTTAACTTGACTATAAATAAAGATTGGAAAGACTTTTTGGATTATTTGTAATATTGGAAAGTATATATTTATTATAAAAAAAATTAAATCAATATTTATGTTAGAAAATCATGAAAATCTTATTCATGTATAGAAACTTGCTTTTATTATTTGAATTTTAACAAAAATAACTATGCTTGAATATGTAAACAGTAATTATATAGATATATATAATACTTAAGATAAGCCAATGAGAGAGTGACATTTGTCATCCTCACATCGAGGTGCTTGTCTTTTAGTATAATATAGATAGATAGATTATTTAACTTGACTATAAATAAAGATTGGAAAGACTTTATAAATTATTTGTAGTATTGGAAAGTATTGGAAAGTATATATTTATTATAAAAAAATTAAATCAATATTTATGTTAGGAAATCATGAAAATCGTATGCATGTATAGAAACTTGCTTTTATTGTTTGAAGTTTAACAAAAATAACTATGCTTGAATATGTAAACAGTAATTATATAGATATATTTAATACTTAAGATAAGCCAATGAGAGAGTGACATTTGTCATCCTCACATTGAGGCGCTTGTCTTTTAGTATAATATATAGATGGATTCATAGCCCTGCTAAAACTATTAAAAATTATATATGCTTAGTTACAACCCAAGTATTTTTGACACAGTGGTTCAGTCTTTTACAACAATACATGTTAAGTGGGGAATTTTTGTGTCAAACTTTTTGTTAATTATATGATTCAAAAGGATGATAATAATGATAAACTAGCTAAGACATACTTTGCAAATCTTACTACTGTAAGTATCATCCGGAAATTTAAAATTCCCACAAATAATTTGATAAGAAATATCACTTGCTCAAAGATCCATTGATTTTCAAGTATTGCAAACTCATAAAAAAGAAAATCATAGACCTATTAAAAGAAAAACAAGTACACATTTATTTTAAAAAAAAAAAACAAAAAATATGCAAATATTAATTAACGTATGAACTAGAAAGAAATGTACATACCTTGTCATGAAATCCCCAAAATTCTTAAAAAGAATGAAAATAAATAT